CGGGCGGCCCAGAGAGGTTGTGGAGTCTCCTTCTCTGGAGACCTTCCAAACCCGCTTGGACGCAGTCCTGTGCCACGTGCTCTAGGTGACTCTGCGTGTGCAGGGGGGTTGGACTAGATGATCTCTAGAGGTCCCTTCCAACCTTAAGCATTCTATGATTCTATGGGGAGTTAAATGAAGGAACTCAGGCACTAAGGAGCTAAAAGAAAGTGTAAACCAGAACAGATCACAGCTCATGTTAGCTTGTAGAGTCTCCTGACTCCCCAGTATTTACATGAAGCCAATTTAGACTTTCTCAGACATTAGCAAAGCCAGTGTAAATAACTTTAATGGCTTGGGGACTGTAAGTGCACACTTAGGCATCCCCTCTGAATTGGAAGTGGAGAGAGCCAAAGTTAGTGTACACATAGGCAGCGAACATAAAAGAAGCAGATCTCAGACTCTTCCTATTCCCTTAGCTAAGAACAAGCTAAACACTTAGGGCTAAATAAGAACAATCCATGTCACGTCTCTCAAAACTTCTGCACTCGGGAGAGTTCCCAATCCCATTGCCTCTGTGCCCAATAACTGCTTCTCTGATCCTTACATTCAGTCCTGCTGCAAAGCACTTCTCTGTGGATATCCCTCGTGTGTGAGAACTGCTGTGCCAGGGGTTGTGTGGGGGTTGCTTGTATTTAGGCTATTGCAGGAAGAGAACTTGCCTTTTGATGTATATCGTGAAGTGCTGTATGTGCTGGCAGGCCCCTATAAATAACACTACCAGCTCCCTTTTTGTACTTTGATGGAGAAAAGTGCTTAGTGATAATTTTCTTTACAGCGAGTGGAGGCGGCAGGAGGAACAAGAGTCCTTTCTTAAACTTAAGCACTGCCTCTTGCAGAAGGTAAAAGAAATATAAAACATTGCATCCTACCATGGCTGTTCTACATGTGTTTCCTGTCGCTTGCTGGTGACCCACTGGTAAACAGAGACCTTCCCCTCTCACAGACAGATAATTTCTTTTCCTTTTTATTTCCTTGTGGCCCTGCACAGCCAGGCTTTCCTGAGCGCAGCAGTGGTAACTGCTGGAAGACTCTCCGGCTCCACAGACGCAGTTTTCAGGCTCTCTCTATCGAGCAGAATTTTTGGCCAGCATCTCTGTCTCAGTTGTGCTGATGCCAGCTCTTCCTTAGCCTACTATTTTGTTCCACTTATACCAGATTGCTCTGAATAAATCACCGCTATCAGGCAGAGGTGAATCCACAAGGCGCTTTTCAGAGAAGAGTTTCTATTAGAAATTTCAGGAAGTGCCACCAATGTCATTTGCAAGAAGGTTAATTTATTATTGAGAGGCCATCATCTTCCATTCCTTTATAATGTCTTGCATTGTAATTCAGAGGAATGGGATATATAAAAAAAATGTTATTAAATACTGAAAACTTTCCTAGAATAACCTTTTCTTCCTTCCACTTGAATTGCCTGTATTAGGCAGAAGTATCAGCTTTGACAGGCATTATGATGCTGTATTTTCTCTAGGTTTACATACAATGGCATGTAACAGGCACACATTTTGACACCACCTAACTCTTTAATGATGATGGTTCCACATCCTTTTAGAAAACCGGATAAATTGCCATCCCTTGCCCTCAAAATCAGGACTAATGTTCCTGAGTGGATTGAGTTATAGCTCTATAGGATTACAAAACAGTATGATGGACAGCCTCTCTGCTTATGAAATTAAATGTGCTATCAAATTGAGAATATACTTTTTTTTTTTCCCATTTTGCTTCAGTTTCCATCGGAATAATGGAAGGCATGATCGTTCCAGACAAGTACTGCACAGTAATTGTAGCTGATGTCGTCGTACAGAGCAAATGGCCTGCAACGGTTTTACTGCTCTGAGAAATTCAGCTTGTTGGAACATAGCAGATAAACTTGGCAAAATCAGCACGCTCCCCACTCAACATTTTTACTGCTGAAGTAAAAGCTGCAGTGTTTTACTCAGGTGAGTCCTTTCCTTACTCACCGGAGAGCTTTGCCTAAGGAAAACCTGCAGAATTTGTACTGATCACTGTTATCCCCCTTAACAATTTGGTGCTTTCCACTATTAAGTGTGTTTATTAATTAATGCTTCATGCTGTATTTTTTTTCCCCCAGAAATTCAACCATCCTCACAGCATCGCTGAGGAAATGCCATTCCCCTCAGTTTTACACGATGAGCAGCTGAAATGTGAGTTTGCACTGGGTCCAAATTAGCACGTCAGTCAGAATCCACTTCTGAACAGGCTGTGGTCCTCTTCTCAGATCACTGGATCCTGCTGCTTCCCTAAGTACACTTAGAGCTATCCTTTCCAAATGCATTTTCCCTGTAAGCATTAAATCGTTGCAATTATAAAGGGAGATTTTCTATGTGCTCTTTCCACAGAAATCAAATGAAATGGCAACTTGCCTCTGACAGTCAACACAGCTCCTGCACCGCTTCCTCATCCTGCACAGATCTAAGGCTCCCATCACGTGTGACTTGACTTATTTGTTTGGCATTGCAATTTTACACCCTGGTTCATAAATACCACGTCAAGTTGCTGTATCCTCTTGGCTTTACCACCAAAAAAACACTACAGTATTATAGTATTTATAGTTTCACGTAGCAACCATGTCTTGCAAGACCTCATGAATACAGTAGAAAGGTTCAGAAGAAATGTCTTTATGCAGAAACCTGCCTATTTTTAAAAAGCTGTCACAAAGACTAAAGAGAAAGGTACTAAATAGTTATAACCATTACACAGCACTGTTTTAAATGCAACACTTCTGTGGCCAAATTATAGTCAAGAAGCCACATCTTCCATATCTAAAATTCTTCCTCAACGGAATTGAGTTTCAAGATGAGTAACTTGTGCCTAAATAGTTTTCCCTGTGATTTGTGTTGTATAAAGCTGCCAGCGAGCAAAAGAGATTTCTAGGTATGGGACAAAACTGTCTCTCACAGCACAGCAATGAAAACTTCCTCGTCCTGAAAGACAGAATGATCTAAGGTGAGTGATGGATGCATCATGGACTGCTTGTCACATGGCCAGGGCAACACTCCTAAAGACAGTCTGATATGTGTCTCACCTATGCTATTTCTCCAGTGATCAAATACAAATTAAGTATATTTTGCCTTTATTTTGTATTTCACTGTGCTAGTGCAATGAAACTGCCATAAAACTCTAGGTGCAATTCCCTTTGCTGTTTTGGCCTATACTGTTCCTTTCTTTGAAAAGAACAGTGGCTGGTGACTGTGCTTCAAAAGTCCTTTCTACTGCGAGAGCTTTACTGACTTCATAACTGGGAAATTTTGAACTGGAAAAATTTCTAGAGCAGAAAAAAAGTCACCATCCAAAGGACAGTTGGGGGTTCTTTTGGGCAATCAATAAAAGAAAAAACTCAGTTCCCAACACCTCTAAAATAAATGAAAGTAAGTCCACATTCTACAGAACAAAATCAATCGATAAAAGAAAAAACTCAGCTCCCAACACCTCTAAAATAAAGTAAGTCCACATTCTACAGAACAAATCTTCTATTTCGTTGGCTAACATGCAGCTATTTCTGTTGCTCTTTAATTGTGAACAGCATTAAACATGTGAATTGCAGGTTTAAAATTTAACACAGAGTATTATGGCAGTGTTTCATCTTGTGCATTAGATAAACTCTAGCACTGAAACTGAATATTTGAATCTTAATGACTTTGCTCTAATAAGACTTAAACTTTTAATTAACCTGCCATGACATATTACAGTCCATAGCTCTTAAGTAACTATTGCAGACAGCTGAGACTCAACACCAATGCCTCTTTTCAGAAGGGAATTAATAGCAGCTTGAATCTGCTTTTTTCAGCTCAGAGAAAAAGTCCATTAAACAATCACTGTGCATAGCAGAAAGCTGAGACCTAGTTTTATGGAGCCTTTCAGAAGGGAATTAATAGCAGTTTGAATCTGCTTTTTTCAGCCCAGAGAAAAAGTCCATTAAACAGTCACTGTGCATAGAAGAAAGCTGAGACCTAGTTTTATGGAGCAATCTTCAAATTAGA